CGTTCTATATAAATAATATGTGATATGCTACTGTGTCAAGTCAGACACAAAACTGATGACTGGCATTAAAAATCAGTAGAGCCTACTTACTACCACATGACCTCCAGGTTGAGTTTAATGGTGCCCAGGTCGTTGACGTCCACAGCCACCACCTGAGGCATGGCGGTGAACAGCTCCTTGGTCTCGCAGATCACACTCCCCACCAGCATGTGAGTGGCCAGGCCCTTCAGCTCCGTCACCTGATTGGACCACAAACCAAGTTCATCAAGTGAATGTGCCCGGAAAACAATCTACCAAGCTCTTCTCACAAGGCAGTCGTAGATTAATTCTTGTTTTGTGTATCGTCTTATATATCCTGTGCTCTCATCCTCCACTGCAGATTAAAAATGAGAAAGAGACGTGTATCTACAGCAAATCCGGTTGGGATGAGGTTGCAGTGAAATCAAGAACAAATCTGTACTGGGAACAATCATGAGTCAATCGCCTGAATGATACACAAACCAAAGAGACAGAGGACATGGGTCAGTCCTTACAGCTGCAAATAATACATCATCGTCGATTAATCAGCCCATTGCTTTCTTACAAAATTAATTTTTCATCCTGTACCTAAAATGTCAAGATAAAGTGATGATGCTGATCACAACCACCAATTTATTCCAAAACTGATTAAATAAAGAAAGCATCAAATAATCATATGTGAGAAAGTGGAACAAATAAAATCTTGACTTTTTTCCCACAACAGCTCTACTGTGTAGAAAAAAGCACTTGCACATGTTGCATGTACAATCTTTTCTTGTTATTTTTTTATACTTATCCATCTGTACTCTGTACCTTGATGTTGATGAGGTCAGTGATAAGCGGCATGAAAACCATTTCATCTCCATCCCAGCTCTGTCTGGAGTTCACCTCAATCCTTCCCTTCAGCTTCCACCTCTGACGACCGTAACGCATGAAGATCTAAAGGAAGGGAAGGTGGAAAAAAAATAATAAAAAAATGAAAGGAAGAGCAAAACTTTCATTGTCACCATAGCAACAATGTCAAGCAGGGCAGGGGGGGACACATCTTGTTCTACTGGAAAAAAAAACTTAAGTTGCATCAACCCCAACTAAAAGTAAGAATCATCTTTACTTCTAACAAAATGTCCTGACTAAATAGAATAGACATTTTGTGGACTGTCACAGTTGCCCCATAAGATTACATTGTAGCCACAAGTGATCCACTGGACCCACTCCAAAGGTTTTGGTAAGTTGTATTAATTTAGCCACATTTATAAGCCTAAGCCCCAGATTTTAAAATGCAGGAAGTCCCCTTGACATCACTGTGTTACATGTATGATAAAACAACTTGCCTCATACTGGTCTCCAGGACAGAGTCTTGCAAAGCCAGCCAATCCTGTCAGAATGATGGAGTAGATTTAAAAAGACATTTGGACATGACGTAAGAAAAACTGATTTAGTGAGTCATCCTGCGCCTCTTCAGTTTTTGTGTTACTTCAATATTATGCTGGTGATTGACTGTAACACTTGGCTTTTGATTGAGATACTTTCTTTTACTCTTTCCCAGGATAAAGACTTCAGCGCTTGTTCAGTGATGATCTTAAAAACAGAATGTGGACATGTTCCATACGTCGGTAGTGTAGTGAATATTTTACTATGATCATCACCATAACATGCTTCATATTCTAGAAATTATCATCATCTGTGAATACACAAACTTAGCTACAAGACTCTTTCTTTTACGACTTCTCATCTTACCTTTCATTTTGATGTGAAACTCCCCAAGCAGGTTCTCCAGTTCACTCTCAAACGTGCTCATGTTCTGGAGAAGACAGACGGATGAGATTACTTTCACAGCCATTTGTGATGAGGACAACAATAGTAATCAAGTTATCTCCAGGGACTTTGACAAATCCAGAAAACACGTCAGCAGAGGCAAGGACGGCTGCTCTAAGCCCAGAGGACATGTGATGGTGTGTGTGTGTGTGTGTGTGTGTGTGTTTTTGGTACTTACAGGTCTTTCTGCAAATATGTGACATTACATATTAGTGTTTACAAATCAGTGTAAGCAGTAATCTGAGTCGTAAAGTATGATTAAGTATATTGTAGGTTTTGTCTGCTGTTAGAAACTGTTAATGAATGTATCAGTAAAGATCTGACAAAAAATAAACCTCATAAAATCTTGAACATGTTGCACAGTGGCTTATTTGTTATCAGATGCTTCATGTTTGATATTTCTTCATAAGACTGTTGTAAGTAGTGCTGGTGCTAAAAGTGCGACATCTACTGGTCAGAGTTTAAAACAAGCAAGTACAAATTAAAATTGTATTTAACAAATATTTGAATATTGAAAATGTCAGTAAAAACTATGAAGATGCATTCTTGTGTCAAAGGTCAGATCAATTCCAAACACTTGGAAGCCTCCGCATGAAAGGTTAACAAGCATGATGACTTCAATCCTCATTTTCCCTGCAGATCCTCACTGGTTTCCCCCACACACTGTATGTACCTCGGTGTATTCCTTGTAGCGACGGTTGACCTCGGCGATGCTCTCCTTGGTGCCTTTAGTGGAGGGAGAGGAGGAGAAGGCCTGCTTCATCCGGCTGGCACCTTCCCTCAGACGGCTCTGGATGCAGAACGCCTCGTACAGCTCGTCCACCTGAGAGCACACACACATGAGAGTCCCACCATCTTTAATAAATGTGCACGAGGACAAGGATGCATTCTTACACACGTTCTTGTTCATTAACACACACACACACACACA